TTTACTGTACTATTAAGTTATTGCCATCCCTTAGGACAACCCTGTATGAAGGAGGAGGACTCACATAACTCTGGATCAGTAAAGGAAGCAGCTCAATTAGCATTTCACACGCTTTTCTTCCCTCTCTTCTTACCTTCCCTGCAGTGGGCATGCTTTCCCCTTAAAGGATTGTCCTGTTTCTGCTCCTTGCCAGCGTTGGCAGGGTGACAGTAGTCGAGTGTGCAAACTTGTGCTATTGTCCCTGGGCCAGGGGGAGTCATGGAGACCCACTAATATGACACAGGAAAATGTTTGCTGATGGCAATTCTATGGGCTTTGTCTAACTCTTTCTCCATCATGACGACTCGATTTAAGTCTCTAACTGTTTGACTACAGATGCAAGAGTACTATCCAACTCCATCCTTTTGTCCAGGCGGTTTGAATGGGTAATTCAGCTTTTGTGTGGCTCAATTGAGGGGGCAAACATAAAGACAAGATTCTTGAGCGCTCAAGCTCCCTTTCCATGGATATCTGCACATCTCTTTAGAGATTTGTTCCTTTCCTACCTTTTTCTGACATCATCCTCCCTTTAAAAAAAAAGAGCCCTGATCAAGAACAGTTAAAAGTAGGCTAGCCTGGTCTCCCCAGCTAGCATTGTCCTGTGTCATTGAAGCATGGTTAGTGCCAGCCTCCAGACAGCTTTGGGATAGTTCAGAGAAAAGGGTGTCTAAACTTTCTTAACTCATCAACAGCATTTCATGTTGGACTGTGTCTTAAAAAAAAGGCCCTACTAGGGGTGGAGGGGAGAGGGGAGAATGGTAAAAATCGCAGGGAAATGATTGTATTATTAGCTGTCTTTCTGTGGCTGTCCCCATGGCAACAATTTGTTATGGCAAAGAATGTGAGAACGGGGAGCCTAATGCCTGATTGGGATGCTTTGTATTTGGCAAAGTGGCTTCTGATTGGTCTGAGAAAGCCCTCTAACTAGAAGGAGTTGATATTCATTCAGCTTACTCAAGTGCTGCTAAACTGCTTCTAAACACTCACAGACTCCGGTTCCTTCTCTAAAGGTTGGTAGTGTATAACCTGTATAACAAGATTAGCAGGAGAACTAGGTTTTTCTCAGCCATGATACAGTAACAATCAATATTTGTGAAACAATCTACTCTGTGTGTGTGTGCGCGCGCGCGTGTGTGTGTGTATTTGGTTACAGTGACATGCCAGTGCTGCAGAGGGTTCTGCTTAGGATTTAAACATTACCTGTGTAACAAGATTAACCATGGGGTTCTCCAGCAGTAACAAGCCACTCCATGCATTTGTGGGGGGAGGTGAGTGTGTGCACGCACGCGGGTACAGTGATTCTGCAGCTGTGTTGTGAATGGGCTAAAAATGTTGCACATTCATCTGGCTCACTGGCAAACTGACAACTTGTTGTTTAGCTGAGGAGTTTGATTTGGTTTTCTCCCCACTCCTTCCCCGGCACCCACTTGATACTTTTTATTTTACAGCTTCAGGATGGTGTTTGGATTCAAAGCCATAAATACATCTGTCCTCCTTTCACAGGCTTGTCCAGGCTTCAGGAGAGGAAGTATAACATTTTAATGGACACCTCCATGAGGATCGCTCTGTGAAATGGCATCAGACAGTGAAGTGAAGATGTTACTGAATTTTGTGAACCTGGCCTCCAGTGACATCAAAGCAGCTCTGGATAAGTCAGCTCCCTGCCGCCGCTCCGTTGACCACAGAAAATATTTGCAGAAGCAGCTCAAGCGGTTTTCTCAAAAATATTCCAGGATCCCAAGAAGTCACCCCAGCAAATCCATGGAATCCAACATGAAAAGAGGGGTGGAGGACAGAAGTCGTAGCTCCCACCCAGATGCCCTGGATCCTAATCCCTGTAGAGCTGCCAGTGAAAAGGCACTGAGGGGAGCAGAGGTGGAGGAGAACCTCAGTGGAGAGCAAGGGTTGCAGGAGCAAAGTCCAGAGTCTGCCAGGCCAGATCAGGTGCCCATGAGGAAAAGACAGCTACCAGCTTCCTTCTGGGAAGAGCCCAGACCCGCTCAGAGTCTGCTGGTTGGGAGCTTTCCGGCAGGACTGGATGGGCTCCCAAAGTCCAGGGACCTTCCTTCTTATGAGGGGAAGAAAAGCAAAAAGAGCCCAGATGCCACAGGGCCAGAGAGCCCCCCAGTGCCTGTCCAACCTAGCGGGGAAAAAGAGCCTATCAAAGTGCCTGGGACATCCCTGTCCGGCCGGATGAATGCCTGGAGCTGCTGTCCATTTCAGTACCATGGACAACCTGTTTACCAAACCCCAGGAGCCCTACCTCAGTCACCCTTCCCAGGCTTGGGGCTGTGGAGGAAAAACACAGCACCCCAAGGGGAAATCCAACACTTCTGCAAAGAGGCAGATGCCACAGGGCAGAAACTATACAGACCAGTGGTTTTGAAACCCATCCCTACCAAGCCAGCAGTACCACCACCTATTTTCAATGTCTTTGGATATATTTAGCCTAAGGGAAGGGAGGAGGGTTGTACTGTGTACAGTAGCTCTTTAAGGTGAAATGGAAATGTAACTTCATACTGTGGCCTATCAGCTAGTCCCACTGTGGAGCAAAGGATGTTTTCTATCTATAAAACAAGCAGCTAACACGCTGCTGCTTCTTTTGCCTGAAATGCACAGACTGGATAATATAAATACCAATTGTTAATGCATTTGGCCTGATTCTCCTCTCACTACATTGGGGGTAAATCAGAAACAGCCCTTACTGGAGCCTGTGGAGCTAGATGTGGGGAGAATTAGACCTCTTATGTTTAAGATAATTGCTTGAGCCTTGGGCTAAGAACCATTGGGAATCTTCACTTGTAATGCTTCAGAGAGATCCTACATGTGGGAATGTCTTTCCAGGGATGCCCTTCATATTAGCAACACTGAGATGAAATGTTTAAAACCATAAAAGAAACTCTTGTATTTTAAAGTCATTCTAGGGAAATCAAAATATTCAGGTAACTTTGTTTTGCATGTGAAAGACTGAAAGGACAATATTTAACACAGAAGACAAGTTTGTAAATTGATTTCAGCTCTTCTTACCTGTAAATATTAAGAGAATTAAAAAAAAATAAAGCAGGTAATTTTATTTCAGTCTCCACATCTCCAATATGTTCAGGCTGATGATTGACTGTTTTGATTCTGCTGTGTAGATTCAGGTTTAATATGTCAGTAGCTCGAAATGAAAGCGAAATTCTCTTCTCACTGGCAGTGTGGTTAAATTAGCAGTACCTCTATGAAGAACTATAGAATTAACATGGGTAAAGCTTGTGTGAATAAAAGCCGAATAACTCTAAGTTCTAAGGAAAAATACTGGAAATCATATAGATTTGAATGTGTAGGTGTAAACAAGTCATATAAGAGAAGGCAGATAAGAGAGTGGTATTAACGGCACATGAGCTTTGCAGGGAGAATTTTCTACTCTGCCTGTGAAATGAAAAGCTGCAAGTATTTGCAAATGATGTGCAAGTTACGCACCAGAGAGGTTGATCATTTGTAATGAAGTCAGTTCAGAAAGGCTAACAAAGGGTTTTGTTAAACTTCTCTAAAGCTTCTAAATGGTGCTAAGCAAATAGGACATGAGATCTGAAAAGTTAAATATTATGGGTTAAGTCTCTGTTCTCTTACAGTGGTCTTTATCACTGAGGTCAATAGAATTACACTACTGGATTCTTTGGGGCTTCCTTTTACTGAATTAAATGAGACCAAGACAACTGAACTGAAACCTTTCTATGAAGTCAATGATAGATAGCTCAGGTTCTTTCCTGGATCTCTACTTCATGTTTATGTAACTTCAATGACTTCTGTGAACTTACTTCTGACTTACACCCATGCTGAAAGAAAACTATCAGCTAAACAACCTTTGGAATAACCTAATTTCCTTGACTTGTGTCATTGGACTTGGAGGCCCATTCATACCAGCTGAAGATCTGGCCTTAAAAGCAGCCTGCAACTTTTCATTTGGAAATATATCTGCAAAAAATTCCCAGGCCAGTTGATTTTTTTTCTTCAGGCATCTCAGCAATCCCACAAATAGTAGCTTATGTAGGAGGCTATCGTGGGTTATTCTTGTAGTCCGAAACAAAAGGTACACCAGGGTAGATTCCTCATTGCCTTCCCTCTTGTCCAGTGACTCAGCCAGCACCTGTCTAAACCAGGCATAACATGTGACAGGAGTGAGCTAGGAATTCTGATTTGGAAGAACTTCGTGCCAACTTTGTGGTGCTGTGATGACACAATGTGCAGCACTGTGGGGTCATGCCCAAGGGTCCAGGAGGCTGGCATTCACTCCTCTACTTTCAGTATCACCTCCTTGTCATTCTGAAAGGAGGTCATGAAGAGAGAGTATTTCTGATTCTGCACCCACTATAGGTAAAAGCAAAGTTCCTGCTTATTTCAGTGGGAGGAGAAATGGGCCCAAGAGCATCAATCTGCAGAACTGTAAGAAAGGGGCTTCCTAAAACAGTTCTCCACATGAGTAAGATTTATTCATCCTTACAGTCCAAATGAAGCTAATGTGCTAGAGGGTGAATTCAGTCACTGTTGTATGAGTCCAGAGTAGTTTTATTAGAGATACTCTGGCTTTCTTCTGGATGACTGATCAGAATGTGGTTTGTTGAAAATGGTTGCAGTTAGAGAGATTATTCGTGAAAATAAGAATTCCAGGACAAGTTGGTCAGAAAATTTGATGGAACCCTATATTCTGATAAAATATGTGATTCTGTCAAAATCAAAACACTCCATGAAATTGGCTCAATATTGCAGTAATTTATTTCTGAAGAAAATCAGGAATGGGTCCTAACCATGCTGAAATAAGCCATTTAAACATTTTCAGAATGTTTTTCTGTTTTTCCTTTTCAAACAACTTCCCATTTTGACTTTTGAAAATGTTACATTGTTGTATAATGATATAATAAAGTATCATAGAAATAATATAATGATATTTAAAGAAAAAATCAAAATGAGAGATAGAAACAAAACATTTCAATCATTGTCCCCCCTCCCCCTTCTCATCTCCCTTTCAGTGTTTTCTTCCTGGATTCTGAAGGAAGCCATATTTTGAAATCTTGAAATCCTTAGTACAATGAATTGTCCATCCTCTGCTCAGGTCTATTTTCAGGATTTTGACCCTTCATGGAGTTCTGATGCCTTCTTAGAGTGACAGCAATGAGAACCCAAGTGAGCACAATGGCATTATTAAACAGAGTTGAAATAAATGACAAGATTTACATGAGCTCTTCCCAAAAATTTGAAGAAGAGCAGCATCTGTGCTCCTCTCCTCTTCTCTTTCCGCTTCAGATTAGTCGTTATTGATTGGATTGACTGAAACTTGGCTTCATCTTACTTTTGTCAAGTTTCTCAAATACTAGTTCACAAGAAGTTGGTAACCTGTTAGTTTATTTCTATTTTGTTTAAATAATGAAAAACAACATCTAAAAGCTACTATTTACTAAAGTGTAATGCAAATGTTAAATGTCAAAACCACAATAGCTTTTATAAATAATGAAAAAATGAAAACCTTTCATACAAAAAAATCCAAAAAAAAAAGTGCACAAGAATATAAAATGAATTGCACATGTTTCAGTAAGTACAGTAATCTGGTCATGTATTATTCCTAGAACAGCTGACAAACAGCTATCATTACTGGATCACTAAAATTTACCATGTTACTGTACTTTGGAACAGCTCTACTTGTTACAACAACCTGGTAGTTTTGTTCAGTTTCACAGTAACTTCTGTACAACTGTAGTAACTTTTATAGGTGAGAACAGAATTTGTACCAATTCCATTTCACTGATGAACTTACTGTGCCTAATCTCAGTGTATAAGAGGTAGCCCGCCCTGTTTTAGTGCAAATAATACCGTAATAAATCAACAGTGTAAAGGCTGGAAGAAATGGTCAGACAAAAAGGATAAAGTAATAATGCAGTTGCCAGGTCAACTCTTCAAATGGCTTGATTTCTACTCAGACTATGTGCATAGTATGGACTTGATACTTCTTGCAGTTACATTATATTTACACCTTGTAGCACTATTGATTTCAATGTAGTTATTCCTGACTTATACAAATGTGAAAGAAGAATCAGTTCCATAGGAATCCAATGAAGGACTGATACCTTTTGGCTAAGAAAAAAGAAACAAAACTTGATTTTTGGTCAATCCATATATAGTTTCAAATTTTTGAAATAAAAAAGAAGTGCCACTCATGATTATTTTGCCTATGTAAAGGTTTCTCACCATGAATTACTTATGAAACCCCACACTTACAGTATATGCACATCATTTATGACTTCAAATCATTCCATCAGCCAGGTGGTCTGAAATTATCTGATTTTATGTCCAACAGAGGTTTAGGTCAACTGTTTCTACCAATAAAATATCAGTATCTATGTACATCCCAGACTGATTCTACTCTGCTACACTGGGTAATTAATCCTGATTTATAGCGGGAGCAAGAACCAGGTTATAGCTGCCCAACCCATTTCAAGGGGAGGTTACAGCAGTTAGACAGGCAATTTTCAACATATCAAAAAACTATTTAGTTAACACAGTACTGTTAGGACTGCAAGAACTGGACTGTTCAATCCTGTTACAAATAGCTGAGCACCTCTTTATGGGGGCAAGTTCTGCAGTGAAATAAGCGCTCACCAGTATAATAAAGGCAGCACAGACAAGCCCTATGTTTGTTCATTTATATTCATTTTAAACATTCCAAAATAAATCTATGTTTGACCAGAACTGGGATATCTTTCAGGAAAGCACTGGTGTCTATGGTACACATGCTGGGCTCCTCATTTGGTAGGGGAAGGTGGGTGTACATCTGAATCTCTTCTTTGTTTGTTTCTTGGCAAATGGTGGCTCACTGTTAATAGCAACAATGGGGTATTTTTTAATTGGTGTAAGAATACTGAAAAAAAAATCTCTGCAGATTTGAGCTCTTGTGATTAGTGCCTAGAGATGATGAGAAATTTTTAGTGGCCTATTTACCTGACTGGAGTTTGGTGGCAGAGTAGTAACGACCGCTTACTTTGAACCCTGAGGTGCAAACATCAGACTCCTTCCAGAGTCATGATGAAAGCTGTAACCCAGAAGTGAATGCATGACTGGTCATTTGGACTGGGGAGGCCGAGGTAGCCAGAGGTGCTGCCACATCACTCCTTTGTGCTCTTGGTAGCAGAAATCAGCGTATCTTAACCATGCAGACTGCTGAGCTGCTTAGTCAGGCCTTTTAATTCAGCAAACTACTTTCAATCCTGCATTCCCCAGGGGACAGTTCCTAGCTGTGGCGAATGCCTGCCAGCCTCTGTAGTAACTGGACTGTGTCTGGTTACACAGGTGAGGATCTGTGTCCTGGAACCTTGTTCTGGAAGTTTGCCCTCTGAGCTTGACTAAACTACTCAGCATCTCACAGAATCAGGCCTATGCACACTATGCAGTCTTGAGGCAGCAAGAGGGTCAAGCATGGCTAGAGGTGGGGATAATATGTAGGGTCTTTCATGAGAAAACTTATTCAGTACTTTCAATCCTGATACAACATCCGCTTTGTCATTTGACAAGATGGGAGAGGCTCACAGGAGGGTAAGCTAGTGTCACTGAAGTCAATGGATGGATTTACACCTGTGTTTACCAGCTGAGGGATCTCACCCTGGGCCAGGGCTTCACCAGTCTTGGCAAATCTTAGCAAGATCTCAGCTCAGTCTGAACTGGAACCACACTGGTTTCTCAACTGTCTATTTTGGATGGGGACAGTCACACATGAGTATGTACTTAGCTAAAATGACTGCTGCTTTTGTTTACAGTCCATGCCACAAGTACTAGAAGAGATTTAATCTCTAATTTTCCGGAGGTGAAATCAGGTTCTAAAATCTTGTGGAAAGGCAGATGTAATGGGGGAAGATACTTTTAGCCTTATGTTACGGCAGTCATTGGCAACCTTTTTATGCTGCGGACCAAAATGACCCAGTTTGGGTCAGAGGCAGAGGGGAAGCCACTAGGACTCAGATGCCACTGCCTCTTTTCCCCACAGCAGCACAGGGAAAGTGCCTGACACTGCTGTTTTTCCCCAGGGCAGCCCAGGAAATGCACCCATCACTACTGCTGCCAAAGCTCCACATGTTTGTGAGCTCGATCAAATGCTCCATGGGTTGGACCCAGCTTCTGGACCATAAGTGTCCAACTTCTGTGTTAGGATTTAAAACACTGCACAAAGAGGACTTGCTGTAGTGATCTGTTTGAGAGGAAGAAGCATTTACCCTATTTAGATTTTACCCTGCTCAGTTCAGGCTATGGTACCCAACTCAGCAAACAGAAGCATAACTATCATATGTGCTTGCAGAAAAATCTCTGGTTTGTCCCCAAGTCAGACTGTAACCCAAATCTCCTGTTGTATTTTTAGTCAAAGGGAAAAGACCAATGTGTTTCTAGGCCAAGATCTGCAGAGACAGTTAGGCTCTTATATCCTTATGTAGGTGCCAAAATACATGATCTGATTTTCAAAGGGGCTGAAATAGCAACTTCTATTGATGTCACTGGGAGCTGTGAGATATTTAGCTCTCTTGTAATTTAGGCCAAAGTATCAAAGATACATTTGTTCCACTTGAGTAGCATCTTACTCCAAGAAGTGGCCTCACTGACTTGAGTGGAATGACTTATGCCATAAGCAATGATTCACTGGGCGTGTCTACACGTGCATGCCCATACTGTGCAATAAATATGGCAATTTACACTGACTTGAGCGTAAATTTGCATCATGCAGGTATCAAGTTTATACCTGATTATTTCCTGTGCAGTAACGCACATGTGGATGCCTTAAGGTGCAGTAATACTGTGTGCGTGGACTGACATAGGACTAACTTTAGTCCCAAGTCAGACGACACATAGCGTTAATGCACTTTAATGCAGACACATGTAGACTCTGGCTTATTCCCACTTACTGCGCAGTAAATTTAAGCTAGTATAAATGCATGTATAAACACGCCCACTGTGTCACAACCCTGCACTACATATAGGCATTTTATCATTAATACGGATCCATCATCCTTATCATTAATAAGGATTTAGAAGTATCAAGTTGGGTGCCTGTTTTTGAAAGTCTTTGTTTTTGTGTTTAGTAACACTGAAATAATTATTCTCTTCTCTCAGTAACAGCAGTTTAGGGCTTTTGCTCCACTGGCATTTGCTAGAAAAAATTCAAGGCCTGATTCTGTTCTCATGCTAAAGTAAATCCACTGATGTTAAAACAGCTACTTCTGATTTACACCAGCTTATGTGAGTTTAGGATTGCTTCAGGATCCCCAGTCCAGGAAAACCATTTATCTTGACCACTGTACACTTCACGTGCATATTTACTATATTACAAACAAAGTATTTGCTCATGGTTAAATCTTTCTGTCCTTAGATCTTACTTAAAGGGAACTTCCATTGAATTTAATGGGAGTTTAGCCTGAGGCATGACTTAGGGATTTACCCCAATATTTACAAAATATTTTGTTGAGGAAAAAAGGTTCTGAGTTTCAAGTGCTCAGAAATCAAGTCAGCTATTCATAAAGAAAGCCTGCCCCCCAAAAAAACCTCAAAATGAAAATGCGGTATCAGGTGATCAGCAACCAGCAAACTGTCCAATATAATGCAACAAAAAGCAAAACAAAACAAAAAAATACAAAAAAAAGTCCCCAGTCAGTGCTTAGTTTCCCAGATATGCTGATTTTTGACAGTGACTGAATGACTCTAACCTCTGCAAGACCTCAATGCTCTTTTCAAATCTCCCAGTGTTACTTGCATTTGGCTTTCCTCATTTCCCAGTGTTGGCTTTCAGCCCCCTTCTTCACAGCCCACACTGAGGTGTGCGGCATTGCAGAGTATGCGTTCTTTTGGAAAATCTGAAGACAGATCCACTTTTGCACGCTCTCTCACTTTCCCCTTTCTCCAGAATGTCACTGCTCTTAGGTTAGCTATTGGGTGATGCTGTATGTCAGGTGACAGAGATTCCTTCTCATCCCCTCATGCACTTTGTTCACCATCATTACGTGAATACTACTGTCCTCTGTCATGACTCCGGGTGTCAAGCCAGAAGGCTGCTGATTGCCGGGTTTGCCTGAGGTCATTGAGAATAATCATACTGTAAGTATCGAATCAGCCTGTCTGGGAGAGGCAAAGTGTCAATAAGTTTAATGCGGTTTCTTCCAATCAAGCTTCGAACTCGGATCCGGCACAGGTGTGTGAGAGGCCTTGGTGGCTCTGGAAAGGAGACAGGACTTCAGTGTGAGCGCAAGCACTTTCAAACTGCACAGCAGCAAATCAGCTTCGTTATTAAGGCAGGGCAGTGCTCAGCATGTTGAGCCATTACGACGGCCCGTGGGAGTTACCTCACCAGCAGAGACAAACAACTCACACCACTTAGCTCCAGGGCAGGTCCCTGCCAGCTGCTACTGGGGGTGAAACAAAGGTACTCCAGGGCCGTGGGGACTACTACAGTCTTGCGGATGGAGATGTAGGTGTGGATTTGCTCTGCTACCTGAGAGGAGGGTGGGATTGCAACTCTCTTTTCCCTCAGCCCAGCATGTCAGCTCAGTATCTGGATCAGGTACTTGGGTGTGGTGCTGAGGCCGGGGCTCTTGCACATTACTGGATATGCCACTTCAGTTGGAGATGTGAGATCAGTTCTACTCCCAGCCAGTCGGACACTTCAGCCCTGCTGGGCAAAGGTGGCCACAGCTGGCTCTTGTGTGCCAAAGCATCATGCTGCCAGACAGGGGTCAGAGCTCAGGACTCAGTTGTGTCCCTTGTTCTCGAACTGGCAGGAACTGAGAGGCAGCATGAGGAGAAAGAGAGGAAATACTTCAGATAGCTCTGTGGCAACCCCTCTGGCTGGACTGGGAGCCATGTCCAAGCCTCCTTGGCTAGACTAACAGTAGGCACAATATGAGGCCTCAAAGGTGGGTGGGGAAATGGGGCAGGGATCCCCGGGATGCTGAAATGGGCTGAAAGAATCCCCTTGAAAGAAGAGAAGAAAGAGGGAGATTTGTCAGTGTGTTGGCAGAAAAGGAGAGAGTCTAGGGTGAACCCGTGTGCTAGTGAACCAGTGGCAAAGCACCAGATAATCCCCTGCATTGTAAAATACCAGCCACAAGGATCTGCCAGCTCCACAGACACTGGAGCTGGCTCTACTGGGAACACCGCTGAACAGAAAAGAGGAGATGAAAATATAAACAAGAGGAAAGCTGAGGGGAGTGTTTCTTTTCTTGAAGAGAGAGAGTGTCAGAAACTGCTCTGATCCATGCACTGTGGGGGCATGATCTAGTTCAGGAGCCAGGAAATTAGCAGTCAAGGCTCCTGCATCCTATCCCAGAATCTGTCCAGGACTTGCTGGGAGTACCTAAGTGTACTCCATTTCCCCTTTTGCAAGTAGGGATAAGATTTACCCAGAAGCATCACAAGGGTAGGGGGTGACTATTGCACTAGTCCCAGGCATCCACTTGGAGGGGGCACAGGAACAAGAGGCATTGCTGCTGCCAGCTAGCCTGGCCCCTGCCACTGCCCTTGCTGCCATTACCACCAGGGTGCAGACCCTGGTAGTTAGGCCTCCGCATTTATCCTACTCAGGAGGGTGCTGTGGGGTTTATTCCCCTGACGGCTGTGAAGCCCCTTGGGTCCCTGAGATGAAAGATGCTCTAGGCAGATAAAGTATTAGTAATTTACTGCTGCATTGGAGGGCTTCTGTGCCCACAGGGCAGCCTGGAAAGCTAGGATTATTCACTGCTGCATGCTGACTAACTCAGGGTATGGGTCCAGTATCCAGTATTTCTCCATTGATGACCAGAATAATTAGCCTCAATGGATCAGATTCCTGGCTGATGTATATCAGCTTAGCTGTATCAACAGTGTCATGGGATTTTACACAGTCTGAATATCTGACCCAAAGCATTATTTAAACCTAATGGAAAAATCCCATCGTATACGAAAGGGATGAAACAAAAAAGGTTCTTTATAAATTGCACTAAAACCTCACAGGATTTTCCCCAAGGTTACACATTATAGAGTATTCTGCCTATGAATGGAGATGGCTTCTGACAGGCTGAGGCTTTCTATGTCATTCACTCAGCCAGCGGTGCGATTGCCTGGCCTAGATTCTGTTCTGGGTGACACAGTTCACACCAGCATCATACCTGCTTTTTCTTTAATGACAGCCCACTCTTCGTAGCTGTCTATGTGCTCCTTGAGCCTGGAACAGAGCTGCACATTGCCCACATAATCTAGAAGAACATCAATAATAGGCCCAGCCCAGCGATTCATCTCTGGAGCAGACACCATGTCACAAAACTGAAACAAAAGCCAAAGCAAATGCAGTCAGAGAGGAGAGCTTCTTTCGAAATCTGCCACTCATTTCAACCGTGGGATATGGGGTCCAGAACTGTGTCAGCTACTTCTTTGTATTCTGGCTAGACATAAGACAACCAAGGCCACCTTTTTGGTTGTACCTTTGTGCCAGGCATAAGCATGATTCTCAATTTTCCTTGAAGAAACTTCTGCCAAATTTCCCTTATTACTACTGAGGTCAAAAACACCCCCTCTACCACTGCAGAAGGAAGAGACAAAATCAGTGGATTCCTGAGTGAAACATGGAAGGAGTGCTGAGTATTACACAAGGCATAATATTCCTTCCTGCTCTGCCTCATAGGTTCTTCTTTGTTATCAAGAGGCCATGAGAAGCTGGGTGCTAAGAGAGATAGGAAGAATGACTATAGCTGTCCCTAGGACCTCCTGAGAATTGCTTTGAAGTCAATACAGCCTAAGGTTGTGTTGCTCCTAGTCTGTTGTAGACTACCTGTTCAGAGAATGTGTGGGGCAACTGTTGCCAAAAATGGAATCTTTGAGCATCGGGCTGTTTATTTAGGTGCTAAAATATAGGGCTGTGCAAAACAGCACTGTTCCATTCCAACTTCAGTTTCAAGGTCTGGATGAAACAGTGTTTTGTATCGAATTTCATTTCAAGTCAAAACAGCCTCACTGTTTCACTTTGTCGAAACAGTGAGGCTGTTTTGGTACTATTTTGACATTTCGCCCATCAGGCTGGGGAAAGGAACTCAGCACCGCTGGGCTGAGTTCCCAACCCCAGCTCCATAAGTGGGTTAGGGAAACTCAGCCCAGCTGGAAAGTTTCCCCAGCCTGATTGTGGGGCTGGGGTTGGGAACTCAGCCCATCTGGGCTGACTTTCTTTCCTGAGCCTGATCCTAGCGCTAGGGATGGGAAGTCAGCCCATCTAGGGGCCTGCCAGATCTAGCGCCAGGGATGGGAAGTCAGTCCAGCTGGGCTGACTTCCTTTCCTGAGCCCGATCCTAGCACTGGGGATGGGGAGTCCACCCAGCTGGACTGACTTCCCATCCTCAGTGCTATGGTTGAAACGTTTTGACTTTCAAAACGTTTTGACTAGCCTTGTTTTGTTTTGAAGCTGTTTTGAAGCCTTTTATTTCATTTTGATTTTGCTGTTTCGATCTCAAAATGAGTCGAAACAGTGTTGAAATGAAACAGTTGGTGAAATTTCGCACAGCTCTACTAAAATACTATCTCACAATCCTGATTTTAAGTATCTATTTAAAAAGACTTGACTTGTATAGCTACCTAAATCTAATCCTGTGCATAATATTGTAGGGCTCCATCTATCTCTACTACTGTGCTGTGCAGTGACAAAGCTATCTTAGATGATGGAGAAACACAGGCAAGTTAAGGAGAATTAATTAAGGCCTTGTCTTGATGGTAACAATAGTGCACAGCAAGGAAGGGTGTGAATTTCCAGCTCACTGGGCGTGTCTACACATGGCCGTACAGTGCCCTTTTTACTGCACTGTTATTTACTTTTCAAAGTACTAAAAGACAGTGCAGTAACAGCCCATACTGTGCCGTGCTGGCCATGCAGTTATTTTTGGCCTCTATGTTGCCATAGCACTGCGCTATAACGAGGAAGTGTGTTGCTTCAGTGACGTAGCAGCAGCATCACAGTTTTTGCCAGCAGATGCTATGGTGCCATAACACATAGCTACAGTGCTGTAGCGTCTTGTGTAGACATGCCCACAAGCTACTCCAAATGAACTTCCCACATGAGCACTTTCAGTGTGCACTAAGAGCATTCACATAGGGATACATGGAGATTGGCTAGGGTATGGTAAATTCACATCCAGGCTTATTGAATACTTTTGCACCAGTTAAAGCACATAAGCCCCCCTGTTCAGACTGTCTCAGTCAGAAGTAAAGTGACTTTAGTTAATTTGAGGAGAATTAGTTTGAGGAGCAAGTTATGGTCACTTCACCCATGAATGAGTGTCCACACAGGGGTTTCATGTACTTTAAGCTATGTGTGTCAACTTCACTGCTGTAGCTGAATCATCTAACTTTCCTGGGCAGCCCCATATGAACAAGCCCTGGGAGTTTCCCACATAAATGGGATTTGTGTTATAAATAGCCCTACTGTTCTTCTGCCTTGTCTGGTTACAGGCAGTGCTGTTTGGGATACTTGGGCCTGATTCTTCACTGCCTTGCTTGAGGTGTCACTATTCACAACTGCCTAAAGAAAATGCAGGGTATGTATACAGCACTATCAAAGCATCATCTCACACTGAGGGATAAATGAGATGCTAGACATAAGGCCATAAACAACCAGATCCTCTCTCATGTTTTTATTCTTTTGCTCTTTGTCAGCCCCATATTTGCACACAAATATGTCATTAAAAACTCAGCAGTCATACCCTGCATGTGCCAGAATAAAACTAAACCAAAATGTCTTTCAGGAAGAAGAAAACCACAAAATGTTGCACTTCAGGACGCGTAACTGCTATGGGACTGAAACTACAGTCCAAGGATGAGGAGTTCTTTGCCTTCAATGTCAGCAAAATGGTAAATGCCCTCTAGAGGCATCAGGATGAATTACTCTTCATGTTCTCATTACTAACTTAATTCTTGAAAAATGAGCTGAAAAAGTGATAATTTGTCTGTCTCCCCTTTCTATAGGAAACTGGATGATTTAATGGAAACATAAAATAAAATATGTGTAGACTGATCTCATCTGCCTCTCTACTTTTGTGGAAGCGTGAAGCACTTTCAAATGAAACAGTTGGCTTTAGTATCAGCCATAATAGTCTTCAGTGGTGTGTTTTTTAATTCTGTTTCCCATACCTAGTTATTTTTTATATGTAAAGTCTAATGATTCAGATATAACACCACTTTTTTTTTGTGAACATTTACGAAAAGTCTTGGATAAATCATTCTAGGACATCTGATCTCCTGAAAATAACCAGTGCCCTGATTTTGTGGTGTCAAATTAAGAGATTAAAAACTCAACTAATCTCTTATGTTTTATTTCAAAATATGGCACATTATCAAGCTAAACCACAAAAAATATATTTTATTAGAAAGTGCCCTAATGCTGAGAGGCAAATTTAAAACAATATGTCCTAGATCCTAGGAGTAGGGAAATATTTTCTGTGCTCAGGTTGACTCGGGTCCTCCATTATTTTTCTTTTGCTTTCAGCACAGATCAGATTTTATTTTACTTTCATAGCTGTGTCCTGTTAGTTTATATTGTATACAAGGTGAGAATAGGGCAAGGATTTGGTTTTATGAAGCATATAAGACACTACTAGCCAAGCTAGCCAATAAAATATTTTCCAATTCCCCAATACTTAATAGTTACCACATAGATGGAATAACATTTGTTATTCTATCCATGCCCAAAAAATCACTTTCCATTTAGTGAACTTTTTGGCAATTAATCATTAAAAGTATATTAAAATATACAGCCTGAGATTTTTCAAAGCAGTCTAGAAAATTTAGATACATATTTCATTATAATAGAAAATATATGAGAGATTGTTTTGTTTCTTATGGCATTTGGATGCCACACAATTCCCATTAAAATGAAGAAAAATTAGATATCTAATGTTCTTTGATGGCTTTGAAAATATCAGCCTCTGTGTTTAAATCTCCTAGTCTTATTTAAAACCCTTAATTATGTCACTAGGACTGACTTGCACCTTCCAGAATGCTTAGTAAACCATAATGTTTCATTTAGGCACTTCTCCTAGATTACCTTAGCTTCTAGAAAGGTTAGAAACATAATATTATTTTAATTGAAAACTTAAGGCCTTTGTACATCCCCAAAACTGGCCTGTAAAGTGGCTTAAATGCCTTTTGGTACCGCTTTAATGGAGTTGCTGTTTGCATGCTTGGCTGTGTATTTCACTTAAAATACTTTGGTACGTAGCAAGATAAAACATCTCCAAGGTGTTTCAGTTTGCTACCTAAAGAAGTGCAACAGTGCACAGGGCGCTGGAAACCGATGTGCTCAGGGCTTGGTAGGCCCCATGCAGCTCAGGGACTGTGGGACCCGGCAATAGCCCGAGCAGGCAGGTTCCACTGAAGAAAAAAAAAAAGTGGCAAGCCTGATCTTTTTCTTTTTTCTCCCTGGAGCCTGCCTGCCTGCCTGCCCACCTGAGCTGTGTGGGGCCTGGTGCTTCCCTCTGCGGCTGCGGGGTGGAACTGTGCTACCTTCCGCATTTGTGGCATCCCCCCGGGACTGCCCAGGCCAGGTGCCAGTGAGTGGGTGTCACTTGGAGGGCCCCCTCATAGCTCAGAGACCACTCAGCCTGCCAGCAACTCCCCCCCTCCCCCTGCCACTGAAGAGGCAGGTAAGGATTGGGTCCCCAGCCTTGTGTACATGCCACAGGGGTTTAGTTTGGTTTAATTCTCCCTAAATTGAAGCAATGTTTTTAAAAACCCACCATTTCAATTTAAGGAGAACTAAACTGAATTAAACCCCCATGGCATGTACAAGCAACTTTAGATTTGGCACAAGACCATGCTCCATCCCCAAAAAACATCTATGTGGTTCATTCTGATGTAGGTTGGCATTGAAACCACTGGCAGAGACCATTTCAGGAACCCACTGTTTTGTCCTACAAAATGAAACATTAGAACATGAGATCACAGGTATATATATAGGATGTGTCCACTGGAACACACAGTGGATATCTGAAGTTCAATGCTCAGTTTGTTACCTGGAAAAGTCTAATCTTGAATGGGGTTTAAGATGGTTCTCTTCTGCACAAGGGAAGCTACTACAAGAGCTAATTTGTTTCTTTCATGAGCATTCAGATGCAGAGAGAAAGAAGGGGAAAAGAGCTGATACTGAGGGTAATTTAGTGGTTAGAGTGTTAACTTAGAACTAGTGAGACCTGCCCTCAGTCCCACAATCCTCCACAGACTTCCTGTGTGACCCTAGGAAGATCCTCCCCATCATTAAAGGGAGGATAACAGTACACTGGATTGGGGTGTTTGGATAGGGGTAATGGGTGCCCTGTATATATCACAGATAAGTTAGCCAGCACTTACCTGTATTATGCTTGGCTGTTTGCTCACCCGAGGCTCATTAAATCTGTCCCTTCTATATTCTAGTATGGGATGTGGGGCATTTCCATACTGACACTTAAAACAGGAATTAGCATCGCAGCCCAGATCCATTAGAAACTTTAGCAGAGGAAGGTACTTCATGGAAAACATGATGGTAGCAGGGAAGGTGGTGGGGTGGCTACAAATGTATGCATCAATATTCGCTCCATGGTCAAGGAGCAGCTTCATAGTTTTCAGGCAGCCATGGCGAATGGAGATGAGCAGTGGGTTGAGAAGGTCAACATTGGGGTTGGCCCCAGCTTGCAGCAGCAGCTCTGTGGCAAAGATATTATTGTTCATGACAGCAAAGTAGAGGACACTGCTTCGCCGGTCCTCATAGAGCCGGGATCTCTCAGGAGAAAGGGTGAAGTTCACGTCATAGCCGGCCTCAACCAGCTCTTCCAAGATGTAATCATTATTGCGCTCAGCCGCCAAATGCAAGGGACTGATACCGCTGCGCTTGACTCGAGTGCGACTAGTCACGGGGATCAACGTTGTGACTATCCTGCCAGGGGGATTCAGAAGAGAGCTGTTAGCTTTAAGAAATTTACAGCCAGTGAGAGCTGTCCAGCTGTCAGTGCAAGAGTGGTCCTGATGCTCATGAATAATAGCACAGGCCTATGCTGCACAGGTTACCCCCACTGGTCTAATGATCTGTGGTTGGGAGCACAGGAATGGCCATGGTGGATCAGACCCATAATCAGGTGTGTATAGTGCAGTATACGCATCATACTACATCTGGTGCTTCAAAGAGGGGTGTAAGAACCCTGCTAGGGCAATCTGGCTCTCACATTAAAGCTCATCCTGATTTCTAATACTTAGAGGTTGACTTAAACCCAAAAAGATTTAGGACCTTGTTACATATGCACTCGCAACAGTTGCAAATCATTGGAATGTAGTGACCTATTAAAATTAGTATGTGTTAGGAAATAACCTTCACCTGAGAGGGAACAAGTTTGCAATGCCATAAGGACACTGAACACATGCTAAACTGCTTGAACATGAGTCTGCTTGAGTTTAACTGCAGTTAGTGGGCACATCTACACGTGCATTAAGGTGCTTTCCTGCATATTAAATTTTGTACCTCCAATGTGAGGTACTAAAGAAATGCATATTAGGTTACCTTAATGCACAATAACAAATGTGCATGGTTTATAAGTGCTGCTTAATGCTCAGTAGCCTATTTTACTGAGTATTAGAATAATCACACTTTTTTTACGTGATTCTATAAGGTACAGTAAAATAGGCAGTTACTGCTCATTAAAGTGCATGTGTAGGTGCACCCAGTAAGTGTTACCTTGAATGTGTGATACCACCTTAGATCCTTCATTTTTCACAGGAATAGCAAAGTGCTTCAAATAAGGAGGAAACCAAGCCAGAAATGAGGAAGGTTACATTCAGTTTCTAAGACCCAAAGCCATCTTTACAATTCTGCTGCCAAAACTAACTCCTTGGCCTGGGCACCCCTCTGGAAACTGTGACAGCTCAGTTGTGGCAGTGGCCACTTCATGAGGCTTTCAAGTCTATCCCAGACTGTGGCTAGCCAGAAAGAAAAAAAGCTGATTGCAAAGTGGAAAAATGTGCAACAGAGTTATAAACCCCAATACACAGCGATTGCTATTGGAAATAGCAGTGCCTCCTTAAATACAAAAGCACATATTGAATTTCTATTATTATATGGATTTAATGATAATATAGGACTAGTAATAAATGTATTGTAAACAAACCTACTTCTGATCTTTACAGTCACCAGAGGTGGATAAATGACTTCCAATGAAAATATTGGAAGATCTGTGAGATGAAGTTTGGAAGATCTGTGAGATAAGCTTTCTTCCCAGATCACACATTTTTTGCAAACAGCCTCTTTGATAAAGATCCTAAGCTGAGAATCAAGAAATATGGGGAAGTTGCATGGGGAAATCAACAAAGAGACTGGGGCATTGCAACACACTCAGCATGCAAGGCCTAATTTTAGACATCCTAGTATTCAATGGATTCCTCACCCCACGTGCTCAGGTACCCTGTACAATGGATGGGGAGAGGGAGGCATCAAAGAATGGGATTCACAGATGACAGCAAGCTGAGCTCATTTCCTCCTGCTTCCCTGCAATCTTGTCAGGTCTCCTTCTGAGTCATTACAGGTTGGAGGTTGCAACCTATGACGTAAGGATTTTTATAACACCTATTTAAATCCACTGAAGGCCAATCTGGCAAGATGCTGGGTGCCTCCCACAAGTTGCTGGCCATCTCCAACTTGATGGCAGAGGCAGTTGCTCTGTGCTCCCCAGCTCAGGCTGTTAAGTACATATTTACATGATAAATCCACTGAAATAGTAGCACTGATGTTATTGCTCCTGGGTACCTGTCACTGCAGCATACTGAGCTGGTCTTGTGAGGTGTTGAGCCTCTACTACTCTCATGGACTGCAATCAGAGTTGAAGAGGTT